GAGCCCAGGCAGAATAGTTTGAACTGGTAGATGATACGCAACGATCCCAGAGATGCCACTCTTGTCCTTGGGCATGAAAACAAGCAGATGGGGGATGCTCTGTAACAGCTTTCTGCTCCTGGGATGCCCAGAGAGGAAGGGAAGCTGGACAGCATGAGCTGGCTCAGGTGTGTGTGAAGAGGTTAGGAGAAAAGTTGGGGAAATAATTGATTTTTTCCCCATCAGTTCAGTGGCAGAATAGAAAAATCTTTTTGTGCCAGGTCATTCAGAAATACAAATTGGTGTTGATTCTGGGTTGGGTTTTGTTTTGTTTTTTTGGCCAAAACCTCTTGTCTCGAACTTGCAAACCATTTCAGTTGACCCTAAATTGCATTTTTTTAAACAATAATGCCCAGCTGTAGTTGGGAGCCTGCCTTTGCATGGGAGGGAGAAGTAGCCAATCAGTCATTGAAAACATTTCTCTTGATATTTTCTGGGGATATGTTTAAAGGTCACGATAGGTATGTTCATTATTTTCAGTGTCCTTCAGAAAAGTAGCAAGAGCCTGCAGGCATTTTGTCTGTTTTCTCAGAAAATTGGTAGGACCACCACTTGGTCTGAATTACTGGGTCAGCATAAAGAAATGTGACTTTGTTGGGTCTTAAAACATTGAAAAGCTGGCTCACAGCCAAACAGTTCATATTCTTATTTCAACTTCCACTATGGCTAGGTCTGTTTTTCTCTAATATACTTAAGGAACTGGTTGAAGAGATCTCTGATCCATTACTAGTTGTCTTAGCGAACTTATGGAGGATGGGAGTGATCCTTTAGGACTGGTGAAGAGAAAACATAGGACATGTCTGTAAAAAGAGGAATAGATATAACTCAGGGAATTACAGACCCAGTCAGTTTAACTCTGCTACTTAGAAAGATAATGGAGCAAAGCAACTAGAAGAAACTAAGGAGATAAAGAGCAGTCAACGTGGATTTGTCAAGAACAAATTATGCCAGATGAATCTAATATCCTTTGACAGGGTAACAAGCATTGCGGGGAAGCAGGTGTGATATGCTGAAAAAAGCAAAGTAATGGACATTGGAAAAAAATAATCCTAACTATACATACAAAATGATGGGGACTAATTTAGCTACGACAGTCCAAGAGGGAGATCTTGGAGTCATTGTGGATAGCTCTCTGAAAACAGCATCAGCAGTCAAAAAAACAAACAGAATGTTAGGAATCATTAAAAAAAGGAATAGAGAATAAGACAGAGAATATCTTATTGGCTCCATATAAATCCATGGTATGTTCACATCTTGAATGCTGTGTACAGATGTGGTCACTTCATCTCAAAAAAGATATATTGGCATTGGAAAAGGTTCAGAAAAGGGCAACAAAAATGATTAGGGGTTTTGAACGGGTACCACATGAAGAGAGATTAAAAAGACTTGGACTTTTCAGCTTAGAAAAGAGGAGTCTAAGGGAGAATATGATATGGGTCTATAAAATTGTGACTGGTATGGAGAAAGTGAATAAAGAAAAGTTATTTACTTGTTCCCATCACATAAGAACCAGGGGTCACCAAATGAAATTAATAGGTAGCAAGTTTAAAACAAACAAGAGGAAGTTTTTCTTCACAGAGCAGTCAGCCTATGGAACTCCTTGCCAGAGGTTGTTGTGAAGACCAAGGCTATGTCTACACTGCATTTTTTTCTCAGAAAAAGATACGCTACCTTTTTCCACTTGTTTTTTTTTTTTTTTTTTTGGAAGAGGCATTTCTAACATTTGGCCCACCTACATCAGCCTTACCTCAGTCCCTGGAAAAATCATGGAGGGGATCCTCAATAAATCCATTTTGAAGCACTTGGAAGAGGGGAAAGTGATCAGGAATAGTCAACATGGATTCACAAAGGGCAAGTCATGCCTGACCAATCTGATTAGCTTCTATGATGAGGTAACTGGCTCTGTGGATATGGGAACGTCAGTGGATGTAATATACCTTGGCTTCAGCAAAGCTTTTGATTCGGTCTCCCACAATATTCTTGTCCGCAAGTTAAGGAAATATGGATTGGATAAATGGACTGTAAGATGGATAGAAAGCTGGCTAGACTGTTGGGCCCAACGGGTAGTGACAACAGCTCGATGTCAGGTTGGTGATCGGTTTCTAGTGGAGTGCCCCAAGGATCTGTTCTTGGAACAGTTTTATTGTACATCTTTATTAATGACCTGGATGAGAGGATGGATTGCACCCTCAGCAAGTTCGCAGATGACACTAAGCTAGGGGGAGAAGTAGATACTCTGGAGGGCAGGGATAGGGTCCAGAGTGACCTGGACAGATTAGAGGATTGGGCCAAAATAAATCTGATGAGGTTCAACAAGAACAAGTGCAGAGTCCTGCACTTGGGACAGAAGAAGCCGAAGCATTTTTACAGGCTGGGGACTCCATGGCTAAGTAGCAGTTCTGCAGAAAAGGACCTGGGGATTACAGTGGATGAGAAGCTGGATATGAGTCAACAGTGTGCCCTTGTAGCCAAGAAGGCTAATGGCATATTAGGTTGCATTAGGAGGAGCATTGCCAGCAGATCCAGAGAAGTGATTATTCCCCTTTATTCGGCTCTGGTGAGGCCACATCTGGAATATTGTGTTTAGTTCTGGGCCTCCCACTGTAGAAAGGATGTGGATGCAATGGAGAGGGTCCAGTGGAGGGCGATCAAAATGATTAGGGGGCTGGCACACATGACCTATGAGCAGGGGTGGCCCGTGAGCCTAGGCGAGCTAGGCAGCTGCCTAGGGCACCGCTGGCCCAGGCGCCTGATGATGACGTCACGGCCATTGATGGCCGTGCAGGCACCCCCCCGCCTGGGCCCCCCCCTGCGGCAGCCGGCCTCAGGCCGCTCCTGCCTAAGAGGAGAGACTGAGGGATTTGGGTCGGTTGATTTAGTTGGGATTGGTCCTGCCTTGGGCAGGGGGCTCGACTTGATGACCTCCTGAGGTCTCTTCCGGCTCTATGATTCTATGATACACAGAGCCAAATGTGGGAAAAACCTCCTCTTTCAGAAGATCCATTGTTCCTCATAAAATGAGGAATACAGGGATTCCGAAAGAATGAGCCCACTTTTTCAGAAACTGTTCCAAAAAAGCAGACGCATTCCCTGGATGTGGCGAAGTTATTCCAGGATAAACTCTGAAGTCTAGACATACCCCAAGGCTTTAACAGGGTTCAAAAGAGAACGAGATAAATTCATGGAGGTTAGGTCCATCAATACTTATTAGTCAGGACGGGTAGGAATGGTGCCCCTAGCCTCTGTTTGTCAAGGACTGGTAATGGATGACAGGAGAGGGATCACGTGATGATTTCCTTCCTGTTCTGGTCACTCCCTCTGGGGCATCTGACATTGGCCACTGTTGGATGACAGGACACTGGGCTAGATGGACCTTTGTTCTGAGCCAATATGGCCGTTCTTCTGTTCTTATAATATATCTTAGTAAGATGGTTGATACAGCCTTACTTCACCTTCTCATAAGAAAACTAGTGAAAAATAGCGTACATGGATCGAGCAGGTAATGAGTGCACAACTGGTTGGAAATATGCCATTAGCCTTCTTGGCTACAAGGGCACACTGTTGACTCATATCCAGCGTCTCATCTACATACCGCATACACACAAAGCATACATATCAATAGATCACAGTCAAGCTGGCAGGAATTTGTCCTTGGTTGGGTTCTATTCAATATCTTCATAAACGATTGAGATAATAGCACAGAAAATACACATATAACATTTGCAAACGATACCAAAATGGGAGGAATGTTTGGCGTCAATTGTTGGGATACCATCACAGATCCACTGAATGCAGTCACTAGTAACTGGGATCTTGGCATGATGAGTTGTTGCCTGCCTATAGACCCTACTCACTAATGCACTGTCTGGGTTGCTGCACTGTTCTACATCAGGCTACATCTGCTGTCTGTGTGAAGGTAAGTGATAGATAAGGCTTAGGAGACATGATGGCTGCCATACAGACATTATAGCTATGTACGGTGTTGGAAAGTCTTATTTCCTTCAAGCCCCAGCGTGCCCCAAGTTCCAGACTGGATTTACGGAACATATTGTCCCGTTTATCATCCTGACCCCTCCCCTCACTGTCAGTATCCTGAAGCCACACAATTTTTCCTCTGACTTCTCTATCTACATCAAGCTCTTGTCCTTTAGACTCATACAGAAACGCCTCATGCCTTTGACAAAGTCCTCTTGCATTCATTTAAACTCTAATAAAGGCTTTCTATGGGGGAAAAAAGAAAAAGCTGGATCTGCACTACAAAACCTCACTGAGCTATGGTGAGTCCTGCATGTTTTTCTTCATTAATCTGCTGCCATCTTCATGCAGATACATATTTTTTATCACAACTTTTAACAGCACAATTTGATCATACCCAGGCTGCATTTCCCATGGTCATTGTCTTGGACACTTTAAAAACAAAACATTAATGTCCAGTGCTATTTCATCACTAATAATTTCATTGGACAACATGTTATGCTTGATTATATAGTGATGGAGAAACCCTTTAACCATCTATTGTTTGTCCACTCATACAACTTACAACTAGCCCCTTGGGTAATTTTGTGCCCAGGTTGAACTTTCCCAGACAAGTTGTAAAGGACACAGTATGACCTATGAAAGCACTATAATATTGAATATGTATTGTCCACAAGAGGTTGTGTATAGTATGTGCTGAACATAGAAATGTATAGAGAGGACCCCATAAAATGTTTAAATCTGAGGAAACGTTTCTTTCCTTCCCCCCTCAGAAGCGTGGGATTTATTTACAGTGCTGATACAGACCTAAATAACTGAGCACACCAAAATGCATTGTTTTATAAAATACACTAAAATTGGGTGAGATCATGGAATCAGTTTTTATAAATGAGTAAAAAGTCCTTGAAAGTATAATCCTTAATAATGGGGTGCTTTGAAATGGAGTCAGCTAGTGTAAACTGTCTATTCACGAAATGGAAAAATGCTTATTTTACCAAAAGACTTTAATTCTAACACTTCTACATAATGCACAATTAAGCAATTATAGAAACCCCATTCCAAATACATTTCTGTGCTAAACAGTTCATTTCTTCTCTTGGTGTATATAACAAAAGACTACTATAAAAAAAGAGGAGGGGGGTGGAAAGACAGAGGATGTGAGCAAGTGAGGCTAGGACTCAGTTCAATTCGATATAGACGTACAAATCTGAGTTACAGAAGCATAAAGGATGTTAATAATCATCGTAGTTTACACTTGCTCCATGCCTGAAGGTGTGTGGGTTTCGGGGCCCAATGGCTGCATCTTCATCATAATGGTGCTGATAATAGCCTCCGTAATATTCATTGCCACCACGTCCCAGGTTTGTCCAGTACGAGATATCGTCCTCAAATTTCTGCAAACAAAAGATTAGAAAGAATCAACTTGTGTTCTAAAGCCACAATAATTTTGTAGAAAAGGAAAACTGTGTGTTGGGTTCTTCTGGTTTGTTTTAGGTATTATAAGTCTTTCCTTATTTGGAAAAAAAATATTTTTTCAAAATTAATGCACTAAATAGTCTACACAGTCATGGAAGTAATTCAGTCTCATCAAAAACATTCCAAGAAGCCAAGAATTTAACATTTACATCTTTAACCTTTACTACTTCTTTATGCTAGAGCTGGGACTGTGTGACTTTAAATATTTCTACTCTCCACTTTCAGAGATCTCTCACTCACAGCTTTGTGCAATATACATACGAACTTGAACGCTTAGTTTCCAGAGAAACAGGTAATTTGTAGGAATGTTGGAGTGGGACTGTCATTGGGCAGAAGGTTTGTCAAATGCCTTCAAGTATGCCTACACTTCTTTTTAAACTTTTTAATTAACTTTAGGCGCCTAACTTTCATTAAGTTGAACAGAAATTAGGTGTGTAAGTACCTTTAGTGCTCATGCTAATTAGAAATTTACAGCACTCATCAAAGCTGGATGTACCATGGTTACGTGATCTAAAAGCATCTCCCCATAACTACCAATGCACAAGGTACTCAAATTCCTTGCTTCTTCTGAGAAGAACTCTGATCGTGCCAAATTGTGAGTGGATCAAACACATAAAAGTAAGAGACTGAGGCCACCATGCTCATTTCAACATGTGTAACTTGGTTTGGTATATGTCTCTCACACTCTTCCATATAAATTAGATAACAATTTCATTAAATTGAAGCAATAGGATTCAAAATTTTGGAGCACATTTTCTTAATATAATTTTGTATGAATAGAGTTTTAAAACATATGATCAAAAATAACTATTGGAGTTTGCATTCCGCTGTAAAAATTCTCTATTCTCTGTTTCAAAAGATGTGAGAGTGTCAAACTTGTGAAAAAGAAGTCACTTTTTTATTGATATGTATTCTTAGTATCACTAGATTTACACACACATTGAAGTCCCCATTACCACTGGAAAGATTCTACTCACAGCTTCATCAAATCCCAAGTAGAGGAACTGCTGATACCACTGCTGCACATCAGGTTGAGTCCTGTCCCACAGTTGGCGCTTCTGGCGTTTCAGGCTGCTTAAAAACTCCTTGGCCGTGTTTTCCTTTACTGACACCTCTGTTTTAACTGGTGCAAGAGCTGAAATGAAGTCCCCAAAAGAGGTGCCAATAACTTTTTAATCAACTCAAAATATATTACCATAAATATACCTTTAACATGAAGTCATCACCTTCTGTAACAACAGAGCATGCACTAGTAACAACAGAACAATAATAATAACAGACATACTCAATAGAATAGAAACGATCAGTTTACTTCATTGTGGATTTGCCTGTGTCTCTCCCTCAGCCCATGCTGACTTTTGTATTAGCTCTGCTTGCCCAGAATCTATACTCTAAACAAGGAACAATGAAACCACTGCGTGCTATGAGCTGTGTCCACTCTGATGAGCAATGCTGAATGAGTGCTCTGGTGGTACAAGTGAGCAGGAGGAAAGCAAAATGTGTCCTTGAACCAAGCCTAAGGCTCTAGGATAAACACCAACAAGTCAAATTCATGGGGTTTTTTTCACTCTTAAATCAGTTGTGTGGTCATGTGAAAACAGTAGTTTGCATCTTTAATTAGATGATTTTAATAGACAGCATAGTCTGGTGCTTCCAAAACTGTGAGACATGACTACAAAGAATTCATGTGTGTCTGGCACATTTTTATCAGTATGAATATTCTTGTTTTTTTTACAATTAAGGGGAAAAAATCATGTACCTTATCTACGGCTCTACATCTGATCCTGCTGGGGCTGAAAGGCCCTCTGGGCCCTCGGCACCTGTAGGGAGCCTACAGCAGAGAGAGATGCCAG